TTTCGTTCCATGCCAGCGATGGATCTCTTCTGCTGGGCGTCACTTCTATCAGCGTATACAAACATTTGTCGCGTGGAGGAAGCCAAGCTCGTGTTTGATTCCATGCCAGAGTATGATCTAGTCTGCTGGAACTCCATGCTTGCTGCATATGCTCAGAATGGGCATCTAGAGAACTCTCGGCAAATCTTCCTCGCCGCGGAAGAACACAACGTCGTCTCGTGGACACTGCTGCTTGTAGCTCACTGCTACTCCAGGAGCCTCCATCGATCTAAGCACGTCTTTGATTCCATGCCCGAGTGGAGCCTCGTGACCATGAACACCATGCTTGCCTGCTTCGCCCAGAATGGATCACGCGAGCAAACACTCGCTATGCTCCAGCGATTGCCAGAGCTCGACCTCGTCTCCTCCAACTGCGTCCTCGCCCTGGCGATCGACCTTGGGCAGGCAAGAGTGATCTTCGATGGGATGCAGCAGCGATCGCTGGTCTCCTGGAACTCGATGCTGTCCGCGCTCGCGAGCGCCAGCCACATCGAGGAAGCGGAGCAAGCATTCCAACACGCGATGCCGGAGCGCGATCTCTTCTCCTGGAACTCCATGATCTCTGCGTATGCCCAGCGAGGCCATCTCGCCGAGGCGGAGAGATTGTTCTTGGCAGCTCCCGAGCGCGACCAGGTCTCCTGGAACTCCATGCTCGCCGCGTTTAGCAACAATGGCATGCTGGAGGAATCGCGCTCGCTCTTCGATTACATGCCCGTGAGAAACATCGTAAGCTGGAACTCGATCCTAGCAGCGTATGCCCACTCCGGGCATCTGGATCAAACCCGGCGACTCTTCGCTCGCCAGCCCGAGCGAAATCTCGTTTCCTGGGGCACGATCCTCGATGCCCACTGCGCCCACAAGGGCGAATCCCACCGGGCTTTCGATCTCCTCAAGGAGATGAAGCTCGCGGAGAGCCCCAACGAGGTGTGCTTCGTCGCGATCCTGGTGGCTTGCAGCCAGAGCGGCGCTGTGGAGGACGCGCGATCGCATTTCCTGTCCATGCGCATGGACTACGGCCTGGATCCCACCCGGAAGCACTTCTCCTGCCTCATCGACGCGCTGGGGCGATCGGGATTCCTGGCGGCGGCGGGGGAGCTCGTCACAACCATGCCATTCGCGCCGCGCAATCTCGAGTGGAAGTGCTTCCTCAGCGCGTGCAACAGCCATAGGAGTGTGGATCCCGGCGCTGGAATCGCGAGCGCAATGCTGGCGCGCTCCGCCGGTAAAGATCCAGCAGCCAGCTACATTCTTGTGGCCAACACGATCGCTCATTAACCCTGAAAAGCTGGCGCATTGTCAATACCCAAGATCAGAACGATCGAAGGTACCTCTCCATACTTCTTCACTCTAAACGGGCACGTCCACGGGTGGTGGAATTCCTGCATGGAATGAGCTCAACCCAGAGATGCATGCTACAAAGTGTGAAGCCCGAGCCTGTGCTGGATTCACGAGCTGTACAGCCCAGGAAGGGCTGGCCTAAACGACGAAGCAGCCTGATCACCTGCTGCAATCTGATCATCAATTGAGGTGCTTACGAGTTGCATCTTCAACTGATTTACGAACAGTCCAAAAATTTTAGCAAAGAGGACAAAGTTTAGACGTTGCACAAGTTTTCTCTGAGATCAAGTATCAGGATGGCGTTTCATGGTCTCGGGATATGCAACGTGTGGAGATCGCGTTCTGGCACTCTTGAAGTTCTTCTCACGCTGCAAGAACAAGGTTGTGAGCCAGATGTGTAGCTGCATAAAGCTCAGCGATCTAGGATAAACAGTGAAGATCAACAGCAAAAAAGAAAAGACTTGACCAGAGTTCGGAATCAATTCCATCCCATCAGTTCATGTCAAGTCATGCCACCGCCATGAAACTCCTCGTTAGAGCATGACACAATCTCCCACTTCTCTCCCCGCCTCTCGTCGACAATCAGTGCCTTGACAATGTCATGTTTTGTGTCTTCGCTCGTCATCAAAAGCCGCTCCCAATCCAGCTGAATGCAGCAACCCAGCTCCAACTCGTTGGTATCAGTCTCAAAAACTCGCCAAGAACCCTCCCACAGCTTGTATCTGGCGATCTTGCGGTGGCTCACTTCACCATGATCGGCTTCTTGTGGATATTACCATATCTTTCTGGGCATTTTTCGCGCCTGGACCACTCGCCCCGAGCTGTGTCGTAAATGTACAATGAATAATGGCAAGTCGAAGGTAGTTTTGCCATCCTCTGGGCTCTAGAAGGTGGTCATCTGATTCCATTGTTGGTCACTGGTGGCAAAGGAACTCTCACTGGGAGGAGCCCCTTGAAGTACAAAAGCACAGCAAGCCGGCATCGCTACTGGCAATCTTCATGTCCTCCGGGAGCGTCTGGAAGCGGCGCCACTTGGTGCGCGGGGAATTCTCAGTCGGCTTGATGAAGAGGGATCCAGGGAAGACCCGAGGCAGAGGTGAGGGATGCAGCGGTGGAGCAAGCGTAGCGGAATCTGGATCGTCAATATCGCGGGATGTTGTGGCCTGGAACGCGCTGGTGGGATTGTTTGCACGGGCCGGGATGCTCGAATCGGCGAAGATGAGAAGAGCGGGGGGTGGGATCCGGCGTCCGGGACGAGCTTGGTGATGGAACTTGCCCAAAAAGGGCATCTTGACGAAGCAAAGTCCCTCTTTGATCGATGCCTCCACAAGAATGTGATTCTCAACACCGCGATTCTTAGTGCGTTTATCCAGCACAGGTGAATCGATGGCGCCAAGGCTGTTTTTGATTTGATGCCGCAAAGGAATGTAGTCTCGTGGAACGCTCTCGTTTCTGGATTTGCCAAAGCTGGGAATCTCAAGCATCAGCGATAGCTCTTTGATAGAATGCCGAACTGGGACTCTGGCCTGTACGGCAGTGATCGCAGCCCTTGGTGACGCGGGGAGGATCGAGGAGGCCGAGATTGTGTACGGCCTCATGGCCTAGCAGAGCGACGTGTCGTGCACCGCTATGTTCCTGGCATATGCCGAGAACGGGCATCTGGAGGATGCCGAGCGCATATTCTCAAGGCTAAAGCACAGCAAGGACGTTGTAGTGTGGACGGCAATGCTGGTGGTGTACGTCCAGAAGGGCTTTGTGGAGTCATCGGAAAGAATCTTTAGGTGCATGCCAACGAGGAATCTTGTGACGTGGAACGCGATGGTTCAGGCATATGCCGAGAATGGGAATCTGGATCTCGCGGACGCTGCGTTCCACAGGATGCCTGCCACTGACGTGGTGTCATGGAACGCGTTGAGCACGGCATTGGCGATGAACGGCGAGATCGACGCCGCATGGCACGTTTTCGACTCGGTGAGACCCGAGAATAACCTCCAGTGGGTCATGGGGTGGCTGCCCAGTCGGGGCAGGCCAAGCGACTCTTCGACACGTGTCCAAAGTGGGACGTTGTCTCATGGACGGCCCTGATCGTCTCGTACGTTAATCAGCCATGCCACATCAGCGAGTAGAAGCTGAACAAAAATCCTGAAGCAAAACATGAGAACAAACATGAAGGCAACATGAATAAGATAATGTAATTCATATGCACCTGTGAGAAGAAAAAAATTGATAAGGTTCATCTACAGACAAGAATTGCTACACTGCCACCAATGTAAACAATAGCAAATCGATAGACAAGAGCAAGAGCAAAATTGTGGGTGAGACTCTCGTTTATGAGGTCAGCCCCTTCGCGTTTGTTGCCGGCTTACAAATTGCCCTAGCTCACGTTTCCAGCACCTTGTATCCAGCTCTCCTTTCAGCATTTAATCTCTTGCACAACGAGACTTTGGGAGCATGGTTGGTACAGGCAGACTTTAGTCAGTAGCTCTCCAGCAATGTCTCAGATTTACATCTTGGATCGGAGCCTGGTAAAGGTATTATAATCTTCATGGAAACTCTTAATGTAGTTTCAAGGTAAAATACATGATGCAATTTGTTAAATTGTAAGTTATCTTTTGGTTTTTCTCATTTTTGTTTTCCTTAGACAACATTAAGATTACAATTACTCCAAATCCTCATATATGAACAAGTTTTCGAGTGTAAATGATAATGTAAGCAACCAAAAAAAAAAACGACTGGAGAGATGATCTATTAACTAAACCAATAATTTTTTTTAGTACTTAAAAACAACAAAAGAATTAATGAATCTGATTTTCTCTAGTGGACAAAGTGTACAAGTTTTCTTTGAGATCAAGAATCAGGATGGCATTTCATGGTCTCAGGATATGCAACGTTCTGGCACTCTTGAAGTTCTTCTCACGCTGCAAGAAGGTTGTGAGCCGGATGTGTCACAGTTTCAGTAGCTGCATAGAGAAGGAAGAAGCTCACCGATCTAGGGAAAACAGTGAAGATCAACAGTAGAAAAGAAAAGACTTAGTAGAAGAACCAAGCAAGTTCTTGAGCACCCCTTATGGCACATCGACCTCTGACCAGCGCTTGGAATCAAGTCCATGGTGCTTAATACTCGAACCCTTCACCACCCATATACTATCCTTCCCATCACTGCATGTCAAGTCATGCCACAGCCACGGATCATGAAACTCCTCGTTAGAGCATGACACAATCTCCCACTTCTCTCCCCGCCTCTCATTAACAATCAGTGTCCTGACAATGTCATGTTTTATGTCTTCGCTCATCCTCAAAAGCCACTCCCGATCCAGCTGAATGTAGCAACTCAGCTCCAACTTGGTATCAGCCTCAAAAACTCGCCAAGAACCCTCCCACAATTTGTATCTTGCAATCTTGCAGTGGCTTGTGCAAAACACTTGCATTTCACCATGATTGCATAGAAGGCCTTGCCTGGCACAAATCAATTGCAGACACCTTGAAAAAGACAAGCTCCAGCGCCGCACTAGCAATCCTTTGCCGCATCCTGCAAAACCCTAAACCCACGGGCTAGAGCTCTAGAAAAAGAGCGGGCTTTTTTGAAGAATGGTGTGTTCTTGAGAGCGCGATATTCGGCATGGATGAGAGGGCGCATTGAAAGTCTTGTCCGTTTCATTCGAAGCTGTGGAGAATCCAGAGATTTACTCGCTGCCAAGAACCTCCATGCCCGCATTGCCAACACCCCAGATCTGCACGAGAACGATCGAAGGTACCTCTCCAATCTCCTTGTCCAGATGTATGGCAAGTGTGGCGATGTCGACCAAGCACGCCGTGTGTTTGAGACGATCCAGCCCAAGAACACATTCTCGTGGAGCATCATGATGGGCGCCTTCACTCTAAACGGGCACGTCCACGACGCCAAAGCCGTGTTTGATGCAATGCCATCGCGGGATGTTGTGGCTTGGAACGCGCTGGTGGGATTGTTTGCACGGGCGGGGATGCTGGAATCGGCGAAGATGGTCTTCGACAAGAGCCCGGGGTGGGATCCGGCGTCCTGGACGAGCTTGGTGATGGAACTTGCCCAAAAGGGGCATCTTGACGAAGCAAAGTCCCTCTTTGATCGATGCCTCCTCAAAGATGTGATCCTCAACACCGCGATGCTCACTGCGTTTCTCCAGCACAGGCGAATAGATGGCGCCAAGGCTGTGTTTGATTTGATGCCGCAAAGAAACGTAGTCTCGTGGAACGCTCTCGTTTCTGGATTTGCCAAAGCCGGGAATCTCAAGCAACTGCGAGAGCTCTTTGATAGAATGCCGCACTGGGACTCTGTGGCCTGTACGGCAGTGATCGCAGCCCTTGGTGACGCGGGGAGGATTGAGGAGGCCGAGCTTGTGTACGGCCTCATGGCCGAGCAGAGCGACGTGTCGTGCACCGCCATGTTCCTGGCATATGCCGAGAACGGGCATCTGGAGGATGCCGAGCGCATATTCTCGGGGCTGAAGCACAGCAAGGACGTTGTGGTGTGGACCGCAATGCTGGTGGTGTACGGCCAAAAGGGTTTTGTGGAGTCATCAGAAAGAATCTTTAGATGCATGCCAATGAGGAATCTTGTGACGTGGAACGCGATGGTTCAGGCGTATGCCGAGAATGGGAATCTGGATCTGGCGCACGCTGCGTTCCACAGGATGCCTGCCACTGACGTGGTGTCATGGAACGCGTTGAGCACGGCATTGGCGATGAACGGCGAGATCGACGCCGCGTGGCACGTTTTCGACTCGGTGAGGCCTGAGAAAAACCTCCAGTCGTGGAATGGGGTCATGGTGGTGGCTGCCCAGTCGGGGCAGGCCAAGCGGCTCTTCGACACGTGTCCAAAGTGGGACGTTGTCTCGTGGACGGCCCTGATCGCCTCGTACGGGCAGCACGGATCCCTAGCCGAGGCCGAGTCGGTGTTCGAATCCGCGTGTGCCCATCTCGACCCCGCTTGCTGGAACGCTATGATTGTAATTTTTGTCCAAAATGGCCACCTGGCCAAAGCCAGGGGCTTGTTTGAGAGAATGGCCACCCGGGATTCTATAACCTGGAACGCCATGGTGTCGGCTCACGCACAGAATGGCCACCTTGACGTGGCAGTGGAATTCCTGCACGGAATGTGCCTTGAGGGGAGGAAGCTCAATCCGGAATCTTTTAGATGCATTCTCGTTGCGTGTAGCTACGGTGGTAACGTGGGTGAAGCATGGAAGTACTTTGTGTCACTGAGGGGTGACCATGCCATAAACCCGTCCAAGGACCATTACTGTTGCATGGTTGATACTTTGGGACGAGCTGGGAGGCTGTGTGAGGCGCAAGAGCTTATTTGTGCCATGCCTTACATTGCTGATGTGGAGTGGGCATCTTTGCTTGCCTCTTGTGCTACTTACAAGGATGACTATCGAGCCAAACAAGCAGCCAACGTTCTTTTCAAGCTCCAGCCAGAAATCTCGGCGCCTTATGTCACATTATCAAATGTTTATTGTGGGTGATTCAATGTCATACATAGTTACGCTAAGTGTACTTCAGACTCAATCCATCCAAAACCTGCTGTGCAAATGCCATGCAGCACATTCTAAGTACCTCCTCCATTCATCGCCTCCAAGCTCAAGTGTCTACCAGACATCTCTCTTCAGCTCTTCCATTAGCTTGGACCTAGATCTTTAGCAGTCAAATCCACCATGCTCAGTGGTACTCGTCTCTCAAGTAGTAAGTTCCCACCATTCTTGTATTTTGTGTGAGGATTGTCTCAGAAGTTCTTCTCGTTAAAAATCTGTGCCATTGGCTAATTTCTCCTGCAAAGTCTTGAGATTGTGGTTAGCAATCCCAATAATCTCCTGAGTATCAACTTTGCCATTCTGAATCTGGACGAAGCCTTCAGGAACAAGAACATCATAGGACCACTTATAGGGATGTCATGACAACCACAGTCCCATGGCCATTTTGGATGGTTACCATCGCATGTTTAGCTGCGTGGGTAGAGACTGCCTTGAAACAGTGCATCTGACTTTGAATTGTGTTCTGCAAACTTCCGTTTAAGAACAGCAGCAACCCGCTCAGTTTTAATGTTTTAGGTTTGCGTCTTTTGGCTGCCTGTAGAACACGTCATTTGTCATGCACGAATATTAGCCCTTCCGAAACAATTTGTCCTCCATTCTTAGACCCAGAGCCTGGATCCTCTTCAACTTCAGCCACTGTAGCTTTCTTCATCCTTGTCCTCAATTGTAACTACTTCTACATGATCTTCAGATTCTTCAGGTGCACGCTTGTACTTTCTAAGTTTCTCCACCCTGTCAATGAGCTCTGGGCCTCTGTACAACTCCTTTGAGCCTATTTCTCCGAAGGGATCGTGGTGCCTTTCACTGCATAATATTTCTTCGCTGACACCAAAGGGAAGTTGGCAGTGAAGAGATCTCCGTTGTAGTAGTTTGGAGCAATCTCTGCAGGGTCCGTATGAATTATTTTAATTAGTTAAATAGGATTTTCCCTAAATTGATGTAAACAAAAGGGATCCCTTTTAACAAAAACTTTGTTATGTTGGTTTTTTCATAAATGAAATTTTAAAAAATTTAATTAATTTTACAACTTTTTTCTACACTGCAACCACTCCCATATAAAATTATGTTTAAGTTTGTATCAAAGTTTCTAAAAGGAGCTGTCACTCATTCATGATCCATCTAGAGATGATTTGGCTAGCAATAATCAATCATAAAGACTAGGTAGTCTTAGTGTTATTATTATTAATATTATTTATTAATCAAATTTATAAAATGGATGTCTATAAATATAGATAAACACAAAATTAAATTTATTGCATATCAACAGAATAAACTAGAATATACTAAGAAATGCCTTGGTTTAAATATATTTATACATTATAAATACAAGATTAATCTAAATGAAACAACAAGAATATTCAACTATATCCTAGGTTTATTCACTAGATATTAGAGCTACTAAAGCTCATAACAACCCAAAAAGCACATGTATGTACACAAACAAAGCATAAGAAGGAAAGAAGTTGGGAGCAAGAAAAGCTGAAAGAAGCAAATTTTCATGAAAAAATCCTATTCAAAGGATGTAAAACATGCAATCTGAAGATTGAGTTGCAAAAAAGATATTTCATCAATATTTCATCAAGCATGTTTCTTAATACTCCTCAAGTAAACACAAAACACTAAATAAAGGCTGATCTAAGCTCCAATAGAAGGTGTGTATGTTGGGGTTTGAGAGAAAATTACCACACACAAGGACCAAGAGAACGAAGTGATCACATATGTAGTGTATTTTAGATTACTTTAATAGAAGTATAATGATTAGGCATTGCAGTTCTATGTTCTAAGTAGTTTATACTAAGGCTAGAATGATCCATTGCAAGGGAGTGGTTAGACATCAATTGGCAAAGTAGCAAAACTAAACTATCTAATCTCTTGGTATTGTTTTTCTAGGCAAATATGAGATTGTGCAAATGAATTTATTTATATATAATAAATATATCAAAATAATTACTTTCCATATTCATTTTTTTGAAAAATCAACAATCAAACTTCTGCAGTTAATTCCATGCTAGACTGCCTCTAGTACATGTTGCCATGAGGCCCAACATTCAACTGCTAATAAACTATGTTGCCATTCATTGTCACAAAACTAGTTTAGAAAGTAATCAAATAAAAAATTATCAGGTAGTTTTGAGGTAATTTCACTTAATTTCTTTATATCACTTGCCCATTAGTGATAAACAAGATTATTTAACTTGAAAAAATTTAAGAGCTGAAAATCATAGCCATTGGATTAAATAATATCTTAGAATATCATTAGATACTAGAAATTGCCCAGCAAAAAGCTGGCAGGTTGGCAAGATGAAGTTTTCAGAAAACTTTAAATCTGAGCCAAAAGACAAATACATTGCCCAAGAGTTTTATGTCACAAATATTATAGCTTTGAGATTTGAGCATCATGATTTTGTTGCTAGTATTTCTCCTACAGAAGAAAAAACCAAAAAAGAAAATTAAATTCAAAGCATAAGAAAGTGAAAACTTTCAATGGGATTCTCAAGAGCAAAGACACCACAAAATATCTCGAAAATCAAATCAAGAAAAAAACGAAAACAGGAAGAAAAAACGCCAAGAGTTGAAGAATTCGAGAAGAAGATGCCCAATAAAAGCTGCATGGTTAGCAAGGTAAATATAGTGCTAAAACTGATGCAATGCACCATACTCATCATTGTGTTATGTGATATTTAGTTTGTTTGGTGAGATTTTTTTTCTTCCATAAAATGGAAGCATGATACTTATTCCCAATTAGAGCAAATTATCTCAACCTAAAAGCTGCCTAAACCTTGGGAAAGAAGACATGAACATCACTTTGACAGAATTTAAATGGTATTTTTCCATATTTTTACATATTGTATAGTGTTATGGGCTTGGTGCTATAGCTTTCTCCACTGCGATGGCCCGGTGATAAAAATGCTGAGGTGATGGAGCTTGAATCCTTTGTGTGGCTTGTGAGGTGTGGCTCTACCGTGAGCTTGAGCTCTAGCATCCTCAGTGTTGATGGTGAACACTACTGAGTTTTCAGTGTTGTCCTTGCTCTTGCTACCATTGTTGTAGTCTTGCCTGTCCTTAAAGTTTGCGTCCCATGCGCTGTTCTTGTAGGAGATGGCTGTGTCACTGAGACAAAAGCATGCTTGTTTCTCAATCACTTCCTAAGATTTGTGGAGGGTAGTGTGAACCACAAGCTTCTTCTCTTCATCTTTGATCTCCAGGATGTCTTTGAGGAGGAGGAACACCTCATTTGATCATAGTAGACTGTGATGGTCGCTTGGAACCCTGTGCCTCGCAGTCACAATGAATCCAACATCCTATGAAGAAAGTAGAGTTTAGAACCAGGTGATTGAAATAGAGGGCTACCTTGGAAGACTTGGATGGTACTGTGCCATCTCCATCCACATACTTGAAATTGGCTTGCAAAATCCAAGGTTTCTTTGAGTAAGCATGAAGAAAGAACTCTGCATTACCTTGAGCTCAACTATAAGGCATTTTTTCACTCCCGTAGTTGGAAACAATGGAAAAAAGTTGCCAATGAAAGTTGGCTATCAAGAATGAAAAACACATACCAAACATGGAATGGAGTTTTGCATGAACTGCCATAGATGTTGTAGAATTTAAAATCTTTTGGAAGTTTTGCAAAGAACCATAGACAGAAGGACTCATTTGCCCACTCAAGAATGCATCTTATTGAAAGGAATGGGTATTGTCTTGTTATCATAACTCAGCTGCATAAAAAATATTTAGTTTACCAGCATAACTAAAGAAAAGAAAAGAAGTTAATATACCACTAACCATGTTCTCTTTAAGTGCAACTTTCATCTCAAAAACACACTCGATGGGTCCATATAAGTGTATCTATTTTCTTCTCCTTTGTCTTGTTTCTTCTTCATCGTGCCCATTGCGGCTCCTAGATAAAAATCGAGTTGGAAATTGGAGAGAGAATCCATGGCAAGTCCATCACTCTATTTTGCCAATCCAACAAGCAATTTAATAGGCAATTTTGCTTCATTTCAAGGGCTTAAATGCAAGAGAAGGAGCTTCTTGAGAGCTATGGAGTCATTGAGCTCCAAAAAACTTGAGGTAAAGGTCTTGAGTGTAGCATACATAGTTTTTACCCTTTATCCTATGGTGATTTACCATAGGATAACCACGAAGCAAAACCTCAACCTTCTGTATGCCATGTATCATATGCCACGTGCCATATGCCATGTGTCCAATGGACAATAGAGTGGAACCTGAGTTTCAGGGCCTTGGGCCACTGAACAAAGGAGCAGTGCCAAACTCCCAAGTATGGAGCCAAGGAGTAATGGCACTGGAGCATGGAACAACTCCCGAGTATACAGCCCAAGGAGCGAAGGGACAGGAGCACAAAACAACTTGGATCAATCCTAGAGTAACCAGTATCCCAATGCCATGACGAACATGCAAAACGGATTTAAACAGAGTCTAGTGCTATTTCAGCATGTCAGTGGAAGCTCTTAAGTTTGGACTTCCCGGGAGGTCACCCAGCCCAGTACTATTCAAACCCAAGGACGTTTAACCCCAAATATCCCAAGACCCTAAATCGATTGGAAAAGGGGGTGCACTCTTATTCATGGGCCCTTTCCCTCTATATTTGAACCTCATGGATCGTCTTTCAAGTTATTCTCATTGGTTGCTTACAATTCACCACGCTTCCCTACAAGTTCATGCCCTCATGAACGGAAGTTGAGAGCCGTAGCTGTCCTGAGAGCCCTACTCTCTTGACACCCTACCCCTCGGGTCGAGCCCAGTGGGAGCAAACTGGACTAGTCAGATGTCAATCAACATATGGTGTGATTCCCCTAGCCAACTAACAGAGTTAGACCCGAGACCACTTCGATACCATCTTCCCTTTTCCCGTTTGGTCCATTAAGGGCTGGGTTACTTTCGAATAGTGTTTGATAAACTTTCGGTAGTAGTTG